GAGAGAGAGAGAGAGAGAGACAAAGAGGACACATGCCTGCAAGCTCGTGCCCAGCACACGCTTGCTGACAACATGAAGGGGCCCCCTGTCCACTTTCCTGCATGGCCACACGTGATGACAGGCCCTCACAGAGCCTCGGTTTCCCCGTCTGTGCCTCGGAAACGGTCCTCATCCCCATGGGGACAGCAAACAAGGTCACCACTGTGACCCTGTGAGCGGAATGGCCATGGTGACCCTATCGGGTGGCAGGCATCCAGGAGAGAAGGCAGCTGTCCCAGGGCTCCTCCCTGACACCGCATCGGCTGTTCCTCCCATGAACAGGCCTGCAGCGGCACCACTGCCTCCTCAGCCACTGCCGAGTTCCCTTCGGTGGTCTTCTGTTCCCAGTTTCACTCTATTTGGAGCCAAGAACATTCTAGAACAGTGATGGCAAATAGGGACTGACTTAGATGAATTAGGTGTTTGCAACACCTGGGTCTGTGCACAGGGCTGCTGGTTGACAAAGGCCTTTGGGAGAAAGACCACTATGAGCAGAGGAGAAGGGTCCGGAATATTCCAGCATACCATCCAGAATGGCGGTGCATTGCCTGATGCCCACCAGGACGAGCTCGCCAGCATCCAGGAGGAGGGCTGGAGGCAGGAAGGTCGGGCTGGGTGTGGGCCTGTGGGGCCTGGCAGGGCTGGGGGCAGGCCCTGGATGATCAGCCCTGCCATGGCCTTCTGCTCCAGAGGCAGTGTCCTGGGTGAACAGCGTCCTCCCCAAATTCACATCTACCTGGAACCCCAGAAAGTGACCTTTGGAAAAAAGGTCTTGGCAGATGTAATTAGTTAGGATGAGATCATGCAGATTAGGGTGGGCCGTACATTCAGTGACCGGGGTCCTTGTAAAAAAGGAAAGCACAGACAGACAAGCAGACACGTAGGGAAAAGGCCACGTGAGGACGGAGGCAAGCCCAGGCCCGCTGGCAGCCCCCACAGGCAGGAGACAGGCCAGGAACGGATGCTCGCAGAGCCTCAGAGGAAGCCGGCCCCATGGACAGCCTGATCTCACACTTCTGGTTTCTGGGAAAATAATTTCCATCCCAGCTTTTTTTTCCTGGGAAAATGAATTTTCCCACTGGTGCAGAGGGTCCAGGAATGAAGGCCAGTCTGAAATGGACACAAGAGACGCTGAGATCCAGGCCCAGCCTCGCTTCGGGGCCCCAGGGGTACAGGGGCAGGGGTGGGGGGCCCCCAATCCTGAGGGTTCCTCTGTATAGCCGGGACTCAGAAGACAGCAAACCCTTCCAGAAGTTTTAGTCTGTTCTTATGTAAAGCGGGGATGTGGGGGTATTCACAGGACCTCTGTACCCGAGTAACCTACACCAGACCTGCCACGTAGGCACAGAAGCGTACGCTGCGTACGATTTGGTTGGCTCGCAAAATTACTAGTTTTGGAATGTTCCAGTGAACCGTATTGTTCATCCAGGCAGTGAGTATGGGACGACAAATTAAGTTCACCTCTAAATGCTTCTAATCTGCGCCTCACGATGGAGGTTCAAGGGGTACATTTAGGGACGTGGCATCTCCTGTGCACACCTAGTCTTGAGGTTCAAGAAATATGTCACATCCCTGACACTCACGGCCTGGCACCGGATGCCGTTGGGCAAATCCACTTTCGGAGCCCACCGGGTGTATCACTGGGGAGAGTGGCTCCCTGCTCCACACTTCTCTGCTGGCCCTCGAGGCCTTGCACAGCCTTACCCAGCGGAACATCGTCCCCACCCCTTCCCATAGGCCCCACAGACACTGGCAAGGTGGCCGCCCAAACCCCGCCTCCATGGGTGTACACCCACCTGCGCTGCTCTGCCCCGGGGCGGCCAGGAATAAAGCCCGTCCTGCCCTCTGACCCCGCTCCTCAGACACGCTCTTCTGTGCTAAGGGCTGGAGGGCACTCTCCTTGCCTCTGGGTTTCCTCAGCCTTCACCCCCACTTCTGACCTGGCTTCTAGCACTTTCTATCAGTACCATCACTGCTTTGTTTTCTCTGAAAATGAAAATAGCTTCCAAAGCAAGTGTCCTGATTATCCATTCTTCTGACACTCCTCTCCCTCCCTGTCTGTCTCTTCATCTCTGTCTCTCTCTCTGCCTCTCAGGCCAGAGGTAGGTCAGAGTTTTCACCCCCCACGGCCCATCATCTCCTCCAGCCATTTGCTTCCGTGACACCCATCCCATTCTGTCCTAGACCACTCCCAAGTTCCAGGGGAGACAGGGGTCCGACTCTGATGTTTTGTTCTTTCTGTTTATTCTGCAGGCTCTTACAGGGTTTGGTTGCCTGTGAACCCCTCAGGCCAAGACCCTCAGCTACTGTCTAAGGTGGCGACTGTGCTGGTCAGGCCTGGCCCAGGTGTGAGCAGGGACCCCCACAGTCATTCCCGGTGTCCTGGGTCATCCAACACTGACATGACAGACCCTGTCAGCTCCTTGGGCCGGTGTCCACTGCCCATCCAGGGCCAGAGCCCCTACTAGAGGTCGCAGTTCCCACCAGGGGCCACCGTTCTCACTCAAGAGATCACAGTTCCCACCCAAGAGGTCACCTTCCCACCCTGGGTCACGGTTCCCGCCAGGGGTCACGGTTCTCACCAGGGGTCACGGTCCTCACCAGGGGTCACGGTTCTCACCAGGGGTCACGGTTCCCACCAGGGGTCATGGTTCCTACCAGGGATCACGGTTCCCACCAGGGGTCGTGGTTCCCACCCAGGGGTCCCAGTTCTTGTGCAGCTCTTGGCTTCCCACCTCTAAGGTGAGAGTCACCCTCCTGAGCACCTTCTCTGGCCGCGAGGAAAACAGGCCCCTGGACCGACCCTCAGCTCACGCTGGGGAGACGCCGGACAGGCAGCCAGCCTCTGAGGACAATGACTCAGAGATGCATTCTCTAGGTCAGGGGGTCCCGGCGACCAGCCCCTGCCGCCTGTGATGCCCCCTGCCCCCCAGGCATCAGCGCCCTCCGCATTTCCACGTTGTCTCCCCACGTGTCACGGACCACTTCCCCGGTAAACCCTTCTGAATCCTCCCGTCAGGGTCTGCTTCCAGGGACCAAGTGGAGGCGACTCGGTTCCTAAAAGCCACGACAAAACCCGGGGGCCTCCACAACCTGCCCACACGGACGAAGGGACGTAGGGCGCCACCTCCCGGCCCCTCCCCCTCCCACGGAGCCTAAAGGGGCCCAGAACATTCCCAGAGACTCCCCAGTCCTCACACCCTCCACACGCCCTGAGTGTCCCTCCCCTCGGCCAGCCCCTCCCTCCAACCTGGTGGCTAACAGGCGGGGTAGGGTTACGTGGGGGTGCAGGGCACCCGAGGACGGGCGAGGCCTCCATCCACCCCACGACCTGAGGACGAGGCGCGGAGTGAGCAGCTGGCATCGAGCACACAGGACAGCTTGTACCCCCGGAGCCCGCAGGTGGACGGCTGCCTTAGCCGCTTGAGGGACCTTGGGGGCAAAGCGCCTGGCTGAGCCCTGAATTCTCATCGTACGTCAGCGGTTGTGGGGACAGGCTATCAATCAGCGGGAGATATCAGCCAAACACGGCTGCAGTTTCCACGGGACCCTAGACAAGCCCCGCTAACCCACGGGTGGGAAGCAAGGTGTGGGGGGCCTTCCAGGTGGCTGGAGGTGGGGGGGTCTGGCAATGCTCTGCTCAGGCTGTGAGACCTCCGGGCTACGCGCTGTGCTCTGCCTGCAGGCGTCTGCACGCGTGCTGACACTCAACATGAAAGTGCAAAGCAAAAGAGCAAAGGACAAGCTCGGAGAGAGTGCTCCCCAGACTCGGAGTGAGTGCTCCCCGGACTTGGAGTGAGTGCTCCCCTGGACTCCAGCAGCCTGTGTGTGCCCTAAAGAAACCCTTCGGGGCACATCTGAGCGTGAAACCATCATCTTATCTCTTACTGTCCACGTGTTGACTGCAGGCCTCCTACTCAGGCAGTTTTGAGGCGACTTACAGTCACAAGGCCAAAGGACAGACAGAAATAAAAGAACGTGTCAATGGAGGGCAGCTGAAACAAGATGAGAGACCAGTAACCTCGCGTACTGGGTTGGAAAGCATGCCCCCAAATTCACGTCCACCCTGAGCCTCAGAACATGACCTTATTTGGAAACAAGGCTGTTGAAGATGTAACTAGTCGTTACCATGAGATCAGACTGGATTAGGGTGGGTCCTATATCCAGTGATCAGCGGGGTTTTGTCTTGGTCGGGCTTTTAGTTAAAATATAGTGCGATACCGGTTTCGGGAACAGAAATTCAGTGATTCGTCACTCACGTGGGATACCCAGCGCTCGTCCCAACAAGTGTCCTCCTTAATGCCCATCCCCCGCCCACCTCCCAGGCAATCCGTGCTGTCACGTGACGGTCACCTGAAGATGCCGGCTACAGGCCCAGATGGCCAGACCAGCAGAAGCCGCCTCCTCTAGGACCTCAGAGGCAGCACGGCCCTGTCAGTGCCTTGATCTCCGACACTGGCCTTCAGAACCGGGAGAGGACACATCTCCGTCACTTTAGCCTTCCCGCCCCACTGGTGATTGGCCACTGCTGCCCCCAGGGAGCCAACACACCAGGTGGACAAGGAGGGAGGTGGGGGCCAGGGCGGCTGCTGTGTCTTGCGGGGGAGGCCCAGGACCCTTGGCCCTGAGCGCCAGTAGCCGACGACAACGCCGTCACGACCCATACTCACTGGTGGTGCTTCCAGACATCTGGATGATGCACTTGGAGTCTCGGCTCATCTCCCTGGAATTGAAGGGGCGGACACGCACCGCCACCTTCACCGAGGCCCCGGCCATCTCTCCGGCCTTCGTTGGTCACCCTCAGCAGCGCTGGGAGCCCTGGCGAGGGCGGAGACACCTTGGGAGAAAGGGAGACACGAATTAGAAGCAATATCCAAAAGGCAGAACAGTGTTTCCAGTTGGGGACTGAACCTTCTCCCTTCCGAAATCCCCCTAAGTGATACGTGCATGTGGTGCCACACCACAGGGGCCAGGAACTGGAGAGGGCGGCCAAAGATGCGAAACACCACACGTTTTAGACAAGAAAGAAGACAGGATGAGCGGAGCCTGGCTTAGCGAGCCTGGGAAATCCAGAGCCCAACAAGAAATAAGCCGATTCACGCCGCGGGACCTGGGAAGACTCTAGGTGCCTCCGAAGGCTCGCGTCTGGGTGGGATCAAAGGCGGGTGTTTGTGGAAAATCAGCATTAAACCTGTTATGGGTTGACTTACGTCCCGTCAAAATTCCTGCGTTGAAGTCCTAAACCCCAGGAACTCAGAACGTGGCCTTATCTGGCGACGGGGCCCTTGCAGATGTTCCTGGTTAAGATGAGGTCACACTGGAGTCGGATGAGCCCCCGACCCAATACAGAGTCCTTATAAAAAGACACAGAGACACAAGGAGAGTGCCATGTGGAGACAAAGGCAGAGATCGGGGCGATGCCTCCACAGGCTAAGGAACGGCAAAGGTGACAGCAAACACCAGGAGCTGGAAAGCCCAGAACAGTCTCCCTGACGGCCTCAGTAGGAACCAGCCCTGTTCACACCTGATGGGTTTCCGGCCTCCGGACCGGGAGACAATATGTCTCTGTTCTCTGAGCCAGCGATCTGTGGAACTTTGTTACAGCAGCTCGGGCAGGCCGGTGAGGACCCCTAGCCCCCCACCCTCCCCCTGCGGACATCCAGGACCCTGCCCTCCACCACCACTGGGCAGGAGGTCAGAGGCCCTGCCCGGCCCGGGGCGCCCGAGAGCCGGACGAGGGCAGGTGCGGAGCGCCCACTGGAGAGGGGCTGAACGAAGGCCACGGAAATGCCGGGCGGCGGGAACCCCGTGCAGGGCTCTCGTCTGGGGAAAGCAGTCAGGACCATACCCTCTGGCAAGAAACAGAGGCTAAAACAACCAGACAATGAACGCAACAGCAAGAGACAGTGCAGGGAACAGAAAGAAAGTATTTTCTTAATGCCTTGTAACTAATGTTCTCAGAAAGGAAAGCTACCAGGTCCGCGAGCGAGGGGAGGACGCTATTTGTAAGAGGACCATTTAACGAATAAGGCAGTTCTTCGAAATGAAAACAGAAACTTTAAAAGTTGGAATTACCAATTTTCCATGAAAGGGGACGGACAGAATTTGAGGGTCAGTGAAAAGCAGCCACTGAAGAGATAATTCAAGCAAACCTCCCCGGACTGTCAGTCCCGTCTCCGAATTCAAAGGGCCTACCCACCCTGCCGGCCGTAAAACGTCACACACCAGGCAAATCGTGAAATTTCAGAACTTCAGGCTTAAAGGGAAGATTCCATAAGCTTCCTGAGGCACAACAGACCACAGAGGATGGAGAATCAGAGCGGTATCTGTATCTCCTCGGCCACATGGTGATGAAGAGACGCTTCCAAACTGCCGAGGAGAGGTGTCCTGCCACCTCCAGTTCTAAACGCAGCTGAACTGCCAGTCGAGTGCGAGGAGAACGAAGACCCGGAAGACTGTGGAACATGCCGGGATCTGTGCTCCGGCAAGTGCGGGAGCGAACAGGGGAACGTGAGGAAGACGCGGGTCCAGGCCCAGGGGATGGCGCAGGGGGTCCCAGGAGGACACTGGGGCTGCCTCAGGGGGACACCCCTGATGGGAGGGGACATCAGTGACGCCAGCGGGAGGGAGGCTAGGTCCGAGGCCAGGGAGAAGTGGCCGTCAGAGTGTCACAGGGTTTGACGAGAGCAGAGGAGGCACGTGCGGAGCAGAGAAGGGTCCTTACTGGTCCTACCGCTGCAAACACAAAGTTCTAACTCAGGAACCGCACAGGAAATGCGGCAGGAAGACGGGGATGGAGTTGTCGGGCCGGGGTGGGGGGGTGGTCTCTGCTGGAGCGATGCTATGGGACAGCTGAACCTCCAGAGTGGCTAAACCCAGGGGCGCCCGGGGGGGCTCCGTCGGTTAAGCCCCCGACTCAGCTCAGGTCGTGATCTCACGGTTTTGGGGTTCGCGCCCCACATCGGGTTCTGTGCTGACAGCACAGAGACTGCTTGGGATTCTCTTTCTCTCTCCCTCTCTCTCTGTCCCTCCCACACTCACACGCTCTCTCGCGCTCAAAATAAATCAACATTAAAGGCAAAAAAACAGATTAGCTAAATCCAGAAACCAAAGAAGTGGCCACCTGAGCGGACTTGAGAGACGGGGGAGCACACACCAGAGCCGGGAGCGGGGAGGGGGGGGCAAGCGGGGCCGTCCCTCTGTCCCTCTGTCCCTGCCGAGGAGCCTCAGCCCCGCTGCCTCGGGTGCCACGTCCACATGTGCTACTTGGTGAGAAGTTTAGGAACCAACCAAAGGACGACAAGCAGGACAGACACGGTTGCTGGAGCCCCGGCGCCACCAGGCCTGCTCTGTGACAACCTCGGCAAGTGCGAGGCCGACCTTCACGTCCCTTTGGAGGTCAGCCTCACACTCACGCCAAGGAAGCGGCTCCCCGAGGATGCAGGCCCGGGTTGGGCTCCCGCCAGCTGGACACGACAGCGTCTGGGCGCTGGAAGCGCTGGAAGCCCACAGGCCAGGGGCGGGCGAACAGTCTTTGCGGCAAGACCCGGGCGAGACGGGACAGGAGGAAGGAGGCCGAGGACGGGGCCGCGGGGGGAGCAGGCCTGTGCCTGTTGGGGGGCACATGACACCTCATCGTCCCGTGCGGGAGGCGGCCCCTGCGCATCCCCCTGCCCACCCTGCGTGCCCAGACTGAGGCTCCTGGAGGGAGCCCCGGAAGCGGGGCGGGCGCGGGTGGGCAGGACTCACGGCGGAGCACAGGCCGCCAGCCCTCCCTCCAGGCCTCGATGCCAGCGAGGCGCCGGTGAGCTTCCTCCAGACATCGGACTGTGCTCGACTCCCCGCGTGCCAAGGGGGGCAGAGAAAGAAGCCGCCTGGGGGACCCCGGGGAAGCCGGGGGCGGGGTGGGGGGATGCACGCACAGGGGTGCGGGGACTGGCACAAGGGGACGATCCCATGATGCCGGTGCACACAGAGCCCCAAACCCCACCCGGTGGGGGGGAAGGGGTGAATATTCACAGGAATCACAAAGGTACAGAAAAATCTTGTTTTCCCTAAAGCCACAGCTGCCGAAGACCAGATGACTCACCGGCAAGCCTCCCGAGGCAGAGACGGGGCCTGTGGAGATGCACGCGTCCCCTCACGGCCAGTGGGCCCAGGGAAGCTTCCAGGGGGTCCCGGGAACAGAACCACCTTCACGCATCTGTTTCCACAGAAAATGCTGCCAACCGGGTCTCTGAGGTGCTGTCTCTTGAGCGCCCCCAGCCACAGTCCCCAGGCCCCAGACGCCAGGACAAGGCAGGGCCCGGAATGAAGAGGGTGGGGCAGCCACAGGCAGCAGCAGACATAGAGCCCCGGTGCCCTCAGACTCACGCTCCTGAGCCCTGGCCTAGCCCATCTGGCCAGGGACCCGGCGGGCACGCAGGCAGCGGGCACAGCCGTCGTGAGACACAGATGCTCTTGGAGCGGGAGCGTGACCCTTAGGTAGTCTGGGCCTTCGAGGCATCGAGAAGGGTCGTCAAGGTGTGCTTCAAAATCGAACAGGGTTCCAGAGTCTCCTACCACACCCTACACCCTGGGGTTCTCGCTGGCAGCCGCAACCACGAGTATGGCCTCCACACTAGCAGGGAAGGAAACGATTCGCTCGAGAGCAGATCGAAAGGACGGGGCAGGCAGCCCTCGGCAACGAGACAGGGGTCTGCGTGTCGGCGTCACGGGCCACTGCGCACGGCTCGTGCCGAAGGCGCCTGGGGTATTCCCGAAGCCACATCGACGTCCATTGATGAGGAGCAAATTGCGTCATAGACAACTAGGGGCAAAGCAGGGACCGGAGGACCCGGTCCAGGTCCTGCCTTTACCCCTGTGACTTGACCCCTGGGCCTCGGTTTACCCACCTGTGAAATGACAGGCTGAGGTGGGGGGCCCCCAAAGTGAGTCGGAGTCTCGGGTCCCGGGCCCCTGAGGCAGAAAACTCCCTGCGGAACTCTGCTGCCGCCGTGGCCGCGGTGATAGGCCGTCCCCACAGGGCGCTGCCGGGGCTGCCGGCCTGAGGCTGCGGCGGGCCACCCCAGGGGGGCTGGGGACCCGAGGGACGGGCCCCTGGGGACACAGAGAGGGACAAGCTCGGGGCAGAGAGCTGGTGTTTACAGGAACGGCCAGAAGCGCCGGGAAACAACTCAGCCCCACCCGGAGAGGCGCTCGGGGCTTCAGCCGTCCGAAATGAACTCACACGCCCGTTTAGCTGCGAACCCCCCGTCACTGGAGGCATCCAAGTAGAGCAAGGGCTCGGGGACAGGTCTTCAGACTCGCCCACACTGAGGCTCCACGAAATCCGCCCTCCCGGAAGGGGCACCTCCTGCCTCACCCTCCTCACCTGCGACTCCCACCCTCAGGAGAATCTGCCCCAAAGACCCGTTTCCAGCAAGGACCCAACCCCCGCCCGTGACGACCTCTGGGGACCCGGGACCAAGAGCAGAGGGGGCCTGCGGCGTGTCCCGGGGCCTCTCGGTGCAGGCGGAGGGGAGCCCCCCGGGGACGGGGACCGGTGCAGGTTTCAGGCGATAAACTCCCAGGCCCTCTCAGGGCCAGGGCCTCGACCCCTCAGAACTCCCCGGAACACGGAGCGGAACCCATCCCCTCAGGCAGCCTCAGCTCTTCCACAGGCTGCAGGGAGAGCAGGAAGCCCAGGGCAGCCGACCGCGGAGGGCCAGCAAGCGCAGGACGCGAGCGGGAGCCCGGGCGGATGGAGGGGAGCAGGGGTCTGGGCTCGCCCCGCC